GGAAAAGACATAAAAACGGGAGAACGATTGGATGGGGTAGGGGAAAAAGTGGTGTTAAATCGAGTTTAAAATTAATTGTTTCAAGTAAAATATTGAGAATTATTACGAAAGTTACGAACAAGAAAATTAAATTATAATGGGCAAAAGCTAATGGCTTCTAAAGTGATGCTTGGTGTAAAACCAAAGTTGTAGCAGGCCCATGATATATGAAGATGTGTAGAAAGTCCAGATTTTGTTTTACTCAAAATATGCAAAACTCACACATTGATCACTAGCTCATATCTAGTTAATATCATATACTATTAAACAAATGCATATTAATAAGCCAAACAATAGCAATGTAGTCTATTAGACTTACAGCTGCAATTTGTCCCTCAGCAAACTCCAATTTCCTAACCAGCTCATCTTTCTCCTTTGTCAAAGCATCAACCTACATCAAAAGAAAGAACAAATATCAATCGATTAGTATATCGTTATACCACTAAAAAACAATAACAAAACTCCAAAACACATCGATCGTACCTTTTTCTGCAACTTAAAGTACAAGCTTTTGTAGCGTACATTAGAAGAGGGATCCTCATTTGGCCTTCCAAGAACCTGTTTGACAATCTAATCAGGCACCAACCAAGTTCATTACTTAATCCAGATTAATATCGTAAATACTAATCATGAGATCAACCGACAAAGAAAGATCCTCGTTATAGTTTTAGGCTTTGCTACTTATGGCGATCTGAATATTTAAAAGAAAACAAGCCAGAATCAAACGGGCAACTTTAAAAATATATATATATATATATATATATATATATCAAGATTTCGAAACACCAAAATATTACAACCTTATGCTTGAACTCATCCACGGCTTGTACGAGATAGCTAACCATTTCATTCAAGCTTCTCTCGTTCGTCTCAACTTCCGAGATCCTTTCCTTTGCAACCAGCACAGGACTACTAACTTTCTCAGTCTGTGGCAGTTCTTCTTTTTCGATTTCATCTAAATCGACATGGTCAACAATGGGTTTGACCCCCTTGCTCCCGGCCGAGCTCTTGAAACGTCCGGATCTTCTTAAGGATTTGTTCATGTGATGTAAGATGTTTATAGTATTCTTACCACCCACAGCAATTAGGTTTTCAGTTTGTGAAGACAATTTCTCCTTGGGAGATGATATCCCCTGATAAGACCGATTTGAAGTAGAATGTGAGGAAATTTCTGGTTAAAGGTTCATCAATTGTTAAAGGCTATTATAATAAGTCATTGTTTAAGGCGATTATAAGCAAAGAAAACAGAGTTAAAGAATCCAACAGCACGATTTGGCATTCTTATAGCAAAACTACGACATGACCCACAATATAATCAACAGCACAGATGAAGATCATGTACAGTAAAAAATAAAACAAGGGTCACATAATCAAAAGCAGAGAGACAGGAAAAAAAAAAAGGCACGAAGGCCAAACGGAAACAGACCAAACAAATGTGACACACATCAATACACGCTTTGGCATATGCATGCACAAAAAGAATTAGGAGATTAAGAAAATACAATAAACCAGTGAAAAACGCGAGAACAATACTAGCTTTCATTATTATTTATTTATTTATTTTTTTGCGGAAAATTTGAAAGGCGTTAGAGCCGTGAATTCAAACACGCACAGTAAACAGAGTAGACTAGCGCTGGAGACGAAGAGGCTTTCTCGGATTGTCCTCTTAAAGGAAAATGAAGAAAATTCGTGGGTTATTGCAGTTAATCAGTCCAAATGAAATTATGAAATGAGAATCCCACCGTCAATTCAAATGCCATGGACCCGCTTTACGAGTGATCTACGACATGCCCATTTTATCTTGCAAGGCTTTTTCACATTGGTAATGCAAATCGACGAGCGGAATTGATTCAATTGGGCATACAAATCAAGTGGAGGTGTATTAATTCCTTTATTTAATATTATAATATAATATTTTATTAAGTTGTCAAGTACTATTGATTAAGATTTTTAACATTTAATTATATTTTTTTTATTATTTTAAAATGTTTTAGAGTGTATTTGTTTTGAATTTCTAAAGACTTTTATAGATTTTAGAAATTCTAGCATATTTAACTTAGATTTTTAAGACTTTTAAAAGTTATAGAAGTATTCTTTTGAAATTTTAAAAAATGTTAACAATATGAGCTATTTAACTTAACGCTATTATATATTAAGATTTTATAAAATTTTGCTGAAATTTTAAACACAAATTACATATGTCAAATATCACCTACACCTTTAAACTTATGATTTCTAAAGATTTCATTAAAATTAGCAAATCTTAAAACATTTTGACTTAAGAAACAGATTTACGATGTCACTTTGAATTCCAAATGAATACACTCCTTAGTTGTAATTTGGGATGAGCATGGGGCTTTGATAACTCTAAATTATTACGAAAATCGAATTGAAATCATTCCAAATCAAAAACAATCGTTGATTGTTTGACTTTCTCATAATCAAATCAAATAAATAAAAAATAATTACTATGATTTTGGGGATTTAACAAATATCTGTATTAATGAGTCAATGACCGAACCAAACTATTTCATACTGTACCGAACCAGATACATAAAATTAAGATGTGAATTATAACATTAAATGTGTCTTATTCATATATTTTTGTATCAACTTTTAATTCTATATAATTTTAATATTTTTAAATGCTTAGTATCATATAATAACAACAATTAAATTTCACTTAGTTGTAAATTTAGTAATACTTAATTTACAATTATTATTTTTTATATTATTTTGAAAAATATATTTATACTGTATTTGCTGATATTTTTCTTAATCATATTCGATCTTATACTTAAACTGATTTGAAAAGTTAAATAAATGCGTTAAAAAAATAATTATATCATACTTCGTATTTCAACTTTCCATCATTAGTTGCACAAACTAACTAAATAATGAGTGTTGATGGGCATTTCCGGTCAACGGTTAAAGAAACAAGTAAAAGAAATATGGGACAAGAAAATGATAAAGAGATGCGGTTTAATTGCAGTTTTATTATCAGATCACTGGGTCGGCCTCTCGTCTGAGGTCGGCACTTGTGATATACTTACAATTCTTACAGGGGTTTATTACAAATCTAGAGAGAGAAAGTAGAGAAATAGTCTGAAAGTTGGAGATTCAACAACCCAGAAATAAATGAGGTGGGCTACTATTTATAGTGGCCTTAAATGTGGCACTGTCCAGGTACTGTTCACCAGTCTTGTCGTACAGTACTCTGGCAGAGCAATTCGGCGTCTCTCTGACAGGCATTAAATGCGATTTGAGATTTTCCTCATCATTGCCTGTCAGGCATTTAATGCATACATGGGGGTCATTTAATGCTGCGCAGCTTTATGTCTTGTCTAGTGGGTGTAGGCCTGCAGGCTACGACGCTTTGTCCAATCACCAATGATTACTCCCCAAGTGGCCTTATTATACTATTATCGGACTCGGCACCTACCTCCGGGACAATCGCTCTGAAGCCTCAGGTCGGCTCTTGAGCTCGGGCTGTTCCTCCGACTCTCGTGAGTCTTATTTCAGCCCGCCGCCCATGTCAGGTCGGCGCCGGTGCTTGAACAACACAAATGTCGGTCTCGATAATAGACCCAGGAGGGCGTGGCGGTTAACTCAACTCGGGGTTCAGCTTGGCATCTGCAC